CACACACACTCACACACACACACACTCACACACTCACACACACACACACTCACACTCACACACACACACTCACACACACTCACACTCACACACTCACACACACACACACTCACACACTCACACACACACACACACACACACACACACTCACACACTCACACACACACACACACACTCACACACTCACACACTCACACACTCACACTCACACACACTCACACACTCACACACACACTCACACACACACTTACACTTTCACAAGTGAGCGTTAGAAAGGAGGAACAGGAGAAAAGGATTAGCAGGAAGAGATTAGAGGGAAGGTTTCCACATCGCTCTCATTCCTCTGCTTGTACAGAAATTCATTTTAAAAAGTGCTTCAAATTTCATCTTCATTTGAGACAAATCAATACTGGCTAATAGGTCCGAAATTTGTTGCTTTCTTCACCTCACATGTGACTGTCTTTCTTCTTTCTAGCTTTCTACTTTTCCTTCTGTTTGATTTTTTCCTTCCTGTTTTTCCTTCCTGTCGTCTAACTTAAAAGCTCACTGCTCTTCCTGTTTTTAGATCAGGCAGCAGGTAACACAACCATTACATTGTAAACACACAGAGAGGGAGGTGGGGCTGCAGAGACATTAGCCTCACTGCAGGTACCTCAGGTTGCATTAGCATTAACAGCAGTGGCCCACAGTCAGCTGACATTTGCACTTCAGTTCTGTTTGTTTCCTGTTCCCATGTTTTTTCATTCATATTCGTATCTGCTGCTTATTGATCACCCATCTGATCAACATATAGCCTCAACAGATTTAAAGTAAATATTTTTTTTAATTCAATTAAACTCCAACATATTTTATTGAAATTGTTCTAAATGCTGAATGAAGTTGTCTTTCATTTTTTTAATTCTTTTTAAAAATTATTTTATCGTTTTCTGAATTGTTCTTTTTCTTTTGGCTGTTCTCTTTAGGGGTCGCCGTAGCAGATCATCTGCCACCATCTCATCCTAACCCTACTCTCGTCTGTCACACCATTCACTACAGCCATGAATCTCAATAGCTCTCAATCAACACTCTCAGCAACAACTGCATCTGCAGTGCTCTTTCTCAGTATGAAGCCGTACTGTCATCACTGCCTCCTCTGCACTTTCTGCTTCACTAACTTTTCTCCTTCTCTCCAGGGGATACTAAAATGTAGAGGAGAACATTCATCACATGGCTAAATAAAACCTCATCTGACTCCACCACCTGACTCCTGCCACTGTGATTTGTCACATGGAAGCATCACACATCACCATTTTCACAAGCATGCGAAAGGTGAAAAGGGTGAGAGCAAAAGACTGGATCACCTGAACTCAGCAGGTGACGCTGATGAATAAAAGGTTTATCACAGACACACAGAACAGATCTCTATCTTTAGTCGCAGGTCCGTAAAAGGAGGAGAAAATGATTATTTGGAGAAAAACATTCCTGCAGTGTTCTTGCTGTAAATGCATTTGCCTCACGGCAGGTGGCTGAGGTTGTATTAGCACTAGCATCAGTGTCCCACTGCTATCTGACTAAATGACAATTGCACTGTAGTTCTGTTTGCTTGTGTTCCCAGTTTCTTCTCCCCCTCACTGACCAGTCTTTCCAGTAACATTTAGTGTAATAACTCGTGTGACCTCTGGGATGAGAGACCTCCCATTCTTCAGCTCTCTATCCTGTTTCTGCTGGTGTGCCCCAGGGTTCAGTATTGGGGCCTCTTTTATTCATTATTTATATGCTTCCTCTTGGTTATATATTCCGAAAATATAATATAAATTTTCACTGTTATGCCGATGACACCCAGCTCTACCTTTCTTCTAAACCCAATTCATCCCTCCCACCTACCTCCCTCTCAAACTGTCTTATTGAGATTAGATCCTGGTTCTCCTCCAATTTCCTCAAACTTAACAGTAATAAAACTGAAGTTTTACTTGTTGGTTCACCATCTATCTTAACCAAATCCCACAGCTTTTCCATTAACGTTGAAAATTCTCCCACCCTTCCCTCCCCTCAGGTTAAGAGTTTGGGTGTCATACTTGATAATACTCTTTCATTCCAGTCTCACATTAATTACATAACACGGTCTGCTTACTTCCATTTACGTAATATTCACCGACTCCGTCCCTTCCTTACTCCCCATGCTGCTGCCATCCTTGTCCATAGTCTTATTACGTCCCGTATTGATTACTGTAATTCCCTCCTATTTGGTCTCCCTAAAAGGTCCCTTCATAAACTCCAACTTCTTCAAAATTCTGCAGCTCGGGTCATAACTTGCACTCCGTTAAGTGCTCATATTACCCCAGTTCTTCAGCAGCTTCACTGGTTGCCCATAGAAGCCAGGATAAATTTTAAAATCTTACTTCTTGCATACAAGTGTATCCATAAATCTGCTCCTTCATATTTGTGTGACCTGCTTCATATCACCACTGTCTCCCGCACTCTCAGATCATCATCTGCTATTCATCTTACTGTTCCGTCCTCACACCTTATCACTATGGGGAACAGAGCTTTCAGTCGCTCTGCTCCTCGGCTCTGGAACTCTCTTCCTCCTGCACTAAGAAATATTGACTCCCTCTCCGTATTTAAGACACAGCTCAAAACACATCTGTTTAAACTGGCTTACTCGCTTTAATGCTGATTTTATCTGTTGTCACGCTCTGTTTTGTAATTTTAACTTATTTTATGTTTTTTATGACTAATGTTCCTTTTATTAATTGTGTTTTTTGTAAGGTGACCTTGGGTTTCTGAAAGGCGCCCTCAAATAAAATGTATTATTATTATTATTTATTATGAATCAGAGATCATATTTTACTGCTTTAAAGGTCGTAAAGCATGTTTTTTATTGTAAGTAGAGATATATGTGGTATTTCTTTAACTCTTTGAATCTGTTTTTATTGAATTATTTTGCCTGCTGCTGTGTTGATATTTAAATTCTTTTCAGAATTTAAAAATAAAATTAATTAGTGTACATTAATGTAAACAACAGATTTAGCTGTTTGCAGCAGTATACAGTCCTATTAGTGATGGGCTCTGATTAGAGAGAAAGTCAACATGAAAAAAGATTCATTCTTGCAAAATAATTAATTCTGTCTCAATAATTATCACCAGGCACCGCCCCCTCACTCACATGGGTTCTCTGCTGTGATTTCTCACTTGGAAGGAGGAAACAACTCACAGCATTGTTACGATGGTCAGAGAGAAGCAGGGAACACCGAGGATCACCTGAACTTTGACCCTCCTTCATTCACAGTGGAGCAGCAGGAGTCCAGCTCAGACTCCACATGAATCCAGTTAAATTAGAAAGAGTCCAATAATCATCTCACCCTTTGATCAAAACTCTAAAGAGTTCAACCGGGCTGACCATACAATCTGAAATGACCACAGAACTTTAATAAAGTAACAACACGGTTTTTTGATCAGCAACTTGTGTGATTACTGACTTTAGTACAGTTGCAGAAAGTTAGGTAATTACAGTAATGGATTACTTTATACTATTACAGCAGTACTGAATGCACAAACAACTTTTGCATTTGCTAATAACTAAATTTCGCAGGCTTTGTGCTGCGGTGCTTATTCTGGAATTTGAGTCTTCTGATGCACTTGTGTCATTTGCTGACGGCTCAGGGCTGTAATGCATGTGTAAAAATGTCTTTATATTTTTGTCTACAGTGTCTCTGATCCACGCAGACTAATTTTGTTCATTTTGGCCTGATTATAGAGATGTGACTGACTCAAATTGTCTGTTTGCTCATGGAAAGAGTGGACTGTTGTGCAAAACCAGATATAAATAAAAGCCTGACATGCTGTTTAAGAAACCTTATCCAGTGAATACAGTTATTTTTATTGCAACACATAAATATTAACTGTCTTTATTTAGACAGTTGTCCTTTTAATTACAGTGACAGCAACTTAGATAAAGCACTGGGTGTATTTGCAGTAGTTGCCTGCATGTCTGCTTTTTAGCTAATTTTTCTACGAGAGTCAGACAGAAACTAGTGAGTCACACTTTCTTCACAGAGATGATGTAGTCTGATTCTGCGCATTAACACAGATTAAAAAAAATCACAAACTAGCATTCCTGATAAAAATGCTCTTTAAAAGTGTCGCCTGGGTTTTGGTGCTGCTGAAGGAGCAGTTTGTCTGCGCTGTGATAACAAAGTCTGTTCTCAGTGGGCGCTTGGAAAATGGTCTCATTTGCATATTGTTCACAAAGAGCTGGAGGCTTCAGGCTGGACGTGGAGGGAAACAGTTTCTGCTCTCAGGGGTTTGTCCCTTCAGCTGAGTTTTGCATAATGAAACAGAAACTGATACTACGAATGTTTATGCTGCTGGTATAAACTGACGTGAGCTCTTGACGGACTCAGTGTCTGCTATGGGAAAAAGTCATTCATGCACACATTTACAGTCATTACAGACTGCTGCCCATTTCAAAGGAGTTTAGAAATTAGACTGTTTCATTGCATCTGAAACCTTCTGCAGAAAGCACCTGTCCTGTCTTATTGATAATGGTCATCTTTTTTTTTATAAATGATTCTTAATAAATACTATTGCTTAATAAATTCCTTCAAAAATATACACTTATGAGCAAATAAACTACAAAGTACAGGAACACTTGCAATTAAACTCAGTCAGCTAGTGAACATAACCATTTAGCTGTAGTCATAACTGCAACTCCAGCTAATGAAACTACAGAAACACCTGCAACTAAAGAGAAACTTCTGCAAACTCAATATTCATCAATTTGCAGTTAAACACACCAACTAGAGCAACTAAACCAGTTGCTCCAATTACAGCAGCTGGACCAACAAGTAAATTAACAACTTGCAACTAAATGCTGCAACTACACCAAACGCTTTACCTACAACAGCGCGGAACGACACACCACAACTATTGCCACTAAGGCAACAACTAAAGCAACTTTGTTCACTGAAAGTTCTCTGAGACAAATGCAAACAAGTGTTCTTGGTTTTTATTTTATTTTATTTTACTTGCTGGTGTGTAATATCCCTTCAGACTCAGAGGTGCATGTTCATTGCATGCACCAGCTTCATTAGACTTTTCCAGACCCTGGTCTGGACCTGCGTGGTTCCAGTCATTCAGAGGGTTAGTGCAGGTCTCCACTCGGAATCCCTCCACTTTGTGGTCTGGAGGAGAAACGCGTTGCCACATGAGGGAGGGAACATTTGGTTTGAGATCAAAGTGTGGTTTGGGTGGGTGGGGTTAGAGTGGCGGTGGGCAAATGGAAGTTACCTCAGCACATGGCCTGTAATTGTGGGCTGGTGGATTCAGAGAAATGAGGCTGCGTGATGGTGTTTGGATGAAGCCACTGATGAGCTCTGGTTGAAGAAAGAGAAAAAACTTTAAGCTGCCCTTTAATTGGAAGTTTCTTTTTGTTAAACGTGAAAACTTTATTTAAAAGAATAAGAACTTTTCAGAGCATTGTGAAGAAACACAGTAAATGCAAGGAGAGGACAGTACGAAAGATTTAACTCAAGCAAGTTGAGCGAAACTCTCCATGTAAAGTCTGTTTTTTGAATGTGATTTGTATGTTATACAGATGAGGGTTGTAGATGGAACAGTTAGGTGATACTAAATAGAAACATAAATGAGTTGATCAAAACAAGCTGTGAACTTTTGCGTTATTCTCTTTTGCAGATGTTTGTTTTCATCTGTGTGGAAAGTGTGGTTGGCTCCTTTGAGGGAGGGTTTTCCTCTCTGCAGCTCAAAATATCTCAACTATAAATAGATTCTCTGGACACCGCCAGTTATTTTTATCCCAACTGAGGCTAAATTTACCGAGCCAGGCGTCGCCCCACCCGTCCCGCCACAGAATAACCCCCAACCCCTCCCTTTTCCTTTCCTTCTCAATTCTCCACTGTGGTCAAACCAGAGAGCTGAGGTCACAGTCTGAGTGAGGCTGAAAGGGAGCTCTGAAAAAGAAATGGGTCAAACAGAAGCGCACATCTAAAAGTGTCTAAACTCAAATCCAAGAAGGCTACTCCAGTTTGCTACTGAGGGCAGCTAACATAAGAGTTATGAGTTATAAGATATAATCTAAGTCGTAACATTGCTGTATGGAGCTGCAGATGGTTGCAGGTTAACATAGCTGGACTGGCCATCGGCATACCGGGCATATGCCCGGTGACTTATTTTTATTTTTTTGTAATGGCATGAACAATGAGAGGTGGTGGATTGGCCAGATGCAGGTCGATGTGTAAAAATAACTCAGTTGTTTGGTGGTGGCTGTGGCGGAGCTTCCACAGAGGCCAGCAGGTGGATGAGGGAAGAGGAGAGGAGAGCCCAAGGCACACCACCGAGTATCAGGTGAACTGAACTTCAGGTAAGAAGTCATGACCTGCAGTCTATCTGGGTCAGATATAAACCAAGTTTAGGTGGAGTTTATTTTCGTTGTGCTGACTTTTTACCCTCAGTTGCAATAACTCGTACTGCGTTCTAGCCAGCTTGATGGAGTTTTTAGGTGGGTGGGTGCTATGATGTTACTGATAGTGAACTTTATTTTATTCATAAGGTAGTTAGTAAGAGTTGCCAACGGCTCCTAAAAAAATGGAATGGTCCCCTCATTCAAGAAAATATACACGTTTGGTATTGAGCTGAGAAGAGACGCAGTTTGTCCCGGACTTCAGCTAGAATGGAAAAAGACACAAAGCTGGAGTTATTCTGTCTTTATGCTGCACAGCTGCCTCTCCTCTCATTCTCTCCCCTCCTCCCTGTGCTACTTCAATCATGAACTGATCAATGATCGCTATCGGCTTTCTCTCTCATTGTTATCGCTACTGCGCAGAAACAGGAAACCATGTTCCGGAAAAAAAATGATCACTGTTTTAGAATTTATGTAATATTAATTCTAGACAGCTGATGTTTGCTGGAGCCACAGCTGTAAAGCTGCTGGTCATGATGTCGGTTTGGTATGTGATGAGAAGGGAAAACATGAAGATGAAACCAGGAGATGTCCTTACTGAACCATCAGAGCTGAACAGGTGATGAGAACAGGTTACCTTTAGGTGACAGGATGAGTTAAGGGAAGTTATAACTGTTTCTGAGAGACAAAATAACACCAGGATCCTTTTCTAACAGCTGACAAGCTGTAAACTGTGCAGGGGCGGGTCTAGGAAGGTTTGCCAGGGGGCATGTAGGGCATTAACAGGGAGAGGGGGCACAAGGAAATACTTTCTTTCTTATCTCATTAAAATATCTAGCTTTATAAATAATTATCTAAATCTTACAACCAAAGTTTTTATCTGACGTAAAATGTATAGAAATCATACATATACCAAAAAGACTGTACATCACTGTCACCACAGGGTTTGTTTTCAGTCAAAGCTTATGGCTTTAATACCTGGTGGGTCGGTCTGTAGTAAAAATGCCCAATTTTTCTGTCCCAGTCCAGCCCTGCAGGTTATACTGGCAGTGTCACCATGCCAGCTGACTGTATTTCATCATCAGCCAGTGTTGTTTTTATCAATATTAAAAAGTTAATAAGGCAGCATAAAATATTACTCTTCAGTATCAAATATCTTTCATTTTCCACTTTTCTGTTCAAATCAACACCACTGGAGAAGATATATATCTTCTTTTTTAACAGGCAAATAAAGTTTGCATTGGCATTGGCCTAATTTGTCAATTGTTTGTTACAAATGTTCGTATTTAATATTCAAAAATGTTTTTGCCCCAAAACATATGTGCACTACATGTCAGTAAAAATACTATCAAATATTGCTGTCCTTGAATGCTGAGTAAACACTGACAAAGCACTGATTGTATCTCTTGTACTTTATCAACGCAAGTATCTAAAAACTTGCACCGAGTGGTTAAAATCTCATTCTAATAAGAGTTAAAAGTGCATTGGTTATTAGGTTTATAGGATATTGAATTATGGTTAACGGTTGGTAGAATTTTTTTTAAACATTATCTGCCACCCTTCTCCAAATCTGTGCCCCTACCTGGCCCCCCCAACAAAAATTTTCTAGACACGCCACTGCTGCTTACAACTGAGCTGACATACCTGCAGCTCTGCAAGTCTGAGTATCACTATAAAAAGTAACAAAGTCCAGCAAAGGTTACTTTCTGATTAGCTCCTTCTGTCACTTCAGTTTCAAGCAACGCTGAAACATTAGTAGCTGTGTAAAGCTGCAGATATATATTCTCTCAGTTCATCCACGGTTGAAATGAATATCTGATCTACATTAATATATTCAGTGGTTTCTGAAAGATCAATATGACCCTGACTTTAAATACCACAAAATACAAATATTTCACTGGAAGTCATCTGTTTTTCAGCTGCATTCATCTGTGTCATGAGTGGGTTGAATGGAATTAAGAGCCAAAAGATAAAGTTGCAACTTACAACTGGAAACTGATAAAAAGTTACAAACAGGAAAGATTTCAGTAAGGGATGATAAAGAAAGTCAACTTCTGGTTTTGCTGCCAGTAAATCCCCCCACAGACACACACGCCCCCTGAACACATGCATGTACGTCTGTTCTTGTGAGAACCCTCCTTTGCATAATGCAAATTCTCATAACTGTTATCCTGATTCTAACCTGAACCTTAAAGATGAATCTTACCTCTTAAACAGCTATATAAAGCTCCTATGGCGACGAGCTACAAGGTCTAAAACACACACCGGTCCTCGTACAGACAGCTGTTAACACACACACACATGCAGGAAGTGGTGTCATTTCTGGTTTGTGTTGTTCAGAACACAGGGTGATGAACTCAGTAGATCACAAACATCCATATAATCATTAACTCACACAATCAGCCCTGAACTTTATTTACAACTACCCAGGAAACAAAATGACACAAGAGTCTGTAACCTGCAGGGGGGGCAGGGGGGTCAACATCTTCTGCCACTTTTTTAAAACCAACACGTCCAACAGCAACAGAGCTGAAAAACAGAAGGCAATGATCTGCAAATCTTAGAAGCCCAGCAGTCATAACAAATGTTCAAATTGAGATGTTTCAGTATTCCACAGGGAAGCTTGTGCACTAGATGTTCTTGAATTTTAGCAACACGGGTTTCCAGCCTTTTGTTGCTCCCATCCACTTTTAAAAAATAAGTGTCAATAAAAAGAAACAGACTGAAGATTTTTCAACTAATCAAGTTAATTTGCAGCAGGTCAATAATATGACAGAAGACCATCTTAGAGAGGTAGTGTTTCTCAGACATAGAGATGGACCGAGGTTCAGCTGCAAATTGAGGAAAAATTTCAGAATAATGTTCATCTGCGTAAAAATTGTGAAGACGAGGGAAAGCGGGTTGTTAAAAAACCTCCTTGTGATTGCTTTGGTCATTAGCCTATTGCCATGCTCGTAGTTTGGATACAGGTGACAGACTTGTCTACAAACATGGAAACAATGGAACTATGAAAAATGTGACACAAACGGAGAGCCTCAAAGTAAAAGTTGCACCTTTTGAACAGTGATAGTGCTGAGGCACAGCTTTTGCTCTGAAGGAGAACCTTCTCCATTTCCAGTTTGCAGTCATACTTTTTCAGTATGTACCATCCTCAGCCAGTAGTTATCAAGTATTTGCAGACAAACATGAAGCATAAAGGCAATCGTGACAACGTGCTAGCAAACATAGATATTGTTAGGAGAGATTTAGTACAGCACCTTCCTTGCAAGCACTTTGACTCAGTAAGAACCAGGAACCTTCAGGCACTACTGCATGTTGGGAAATATACATTTTTCCCCAGCAGATGATGATTGTATCATATTCAATATGGAAGGAAACTCTTATGTGTTTTTATTTTAGTTGAATATGTTTAATTTTAACATTAAAGTCTGTGGGAATTGGTTAATTTTTAAGCTAGCCTCAAGTGGCCATAAGAGGAACTGCAAGTAACAGCACATAAGTGTTGGCTTCATTTGTCATGTCTGAAGGCTGACTTACACCCAGTGGTCAGGTGGGGCCTTTCTGTATAGTCTGCCTAACATAAATCTTAGTTCTGTTTAATGTGAAGCACACTGACTTCACATGTAAATGCAAATCCAACATAAATATCGTTTCTAATTTATAAACAAAGCCCAAATCCCCTTTGAGTCAAATTCATTGAAGGGTCCTGAGTTCAGATCCTGCTTGTGTGTTTGGACGCAGCGTCACAGCACCTCGAGTTCAGGACCTGCAGCACTGCTGAGGTCAGAGGTCTCTCTCTGCTAATCAGCGTCTGCAGCGTCCTGCCACATCAGACTACACGTGTGGCGTGATGACATCACATGGGGGGGGAGTCAGGGGGTGAAAAGTGAAGGTTAGCTGGGAGACAAATACGTTGTTTTTAACAACCTGTTTTCATACAGCACCTACGAGCAGTGCCATTGGTTCCTGGTTTGTTTTAGGTGTAACTCATGAAACAATTAAAACAATAAAAAAAAAAACACAAATGTAATAAAGTAAATTTTGATTTTAATGCAAACAGAAAGCATACATCGATAGAGCAGGAATAGAAAAAGATAAAAGTCAACATCAAACGAAAACATGTGAAGCTACATTCCTGAAATTCCTCAGCGGTTTGAGTGCTGCGAATTCCTGTCTGTGAAATGACAAAATAAAGCCGAAATACCTCAGGGACAACAGATTCAATGATTTGCTTCTCTCTTCATGACAGGCGGCTTCTGACATGCACAAAGGTTGTGACACAGAAACAAAAGTCTGTGTTCAGCATCCAAAAGACAACAAACACGCTGACCCATTTTCAAACCACAGAGCGATAACGACTTTTCTTTGTGCCGTCATCCTGAGATGTTTTTCATGTGGAGGAAAACAAAGATGAGGAGCAAATGGGTGAAATCACTGATTCACCACTCAAACGCAGGCAGAGCTCTCTGTCACAGTACAGCATGCTTCATCGGCCAAACAGCTGCTGATGAGAGCTGAGTGGAACAATCAACCACAGATGCCTCCTCCCATAGCAGGTCTCACTGGGGATGTTGTGGCTGCTGATCCTAGTGTATTTGAGCTGGTGTAAAGCCCACAAATATGTTCCAAAAGAAGAAAGAGTGACTTTAAGAGCTGAAGCAAGCAAATTCAGTGGACGGGGGTAAGTAGGTGCAACAAAATGAAAAGGTTGCAGAATAAATCCTCACTGATTAGCCAATAACGGTGTAACAGATGAGAAACGTTCTCATCCCAGGTCATCAGTCACTGCTGTTCTGTCAGATAACTGCTGGTTATCATATTATGTTATACTGGACTACATAATAAATCGTCAGTCAGCTGATTGCAGTTTATGTCATACTTGGTAACATTTTTTACACTTACTAAAACAACTTGGTTAGTTTTAGAAAAGAGTTTAAACCTTGTCCATTATTGACCGATGCCACATGACATCTTGTGCATCTGACAGTGTTGACAAAAAGAACAGGCTGCAACATATTATTGAAAAGGCCTGCAGAACATAGAGCTGGTGTCTTTATACTAAATAACGAATTTCAAGGCAGAGATCAAGAAGTCAGTTTGATAACAGACTGTCTGTGCATGCTGGATGGCTATGACAGACATCCAAACCTGGACTTCAGTCAAATTTGCATCCTTTACTATAGTAAAAGGTTAAATTAATAATGTTAAGATGTATTTTTAGTGTTTAATTCAATGTCAGTGAGCCAGTAATTGCAGCTTTTTTGCTGCCTTTCTCTCAGTACTTAGATGCTTGTGTGTTTTGTGATGCTGGAGCGATCTCTATCTCTCATACACTCATCACCCCTCTCCTCCTCTCTCTGACTCATCGCTCTGATGCTCTCCTCTGCTCCTGAACCAACCTTACATGGTCAATGACGTGGTGGCAGGATCTCCCTACGTAACACACCAACGTGCCATTCAGCACAGCTTCGGCACCTTATCTAATATAGAGACCGCCGCCTGCCCAGCCGTCCAATCAGTGCACTCCATCTGTTTCCAGGGTGACGTGATGTAGAGAGTAGGGAGCTTCCTCACCGTTTGTGAACAGAAATAGCTGCTAGAGTGACACACTGAGCTTCTTTTTAAGTCTTCTAAAAATAACGCCGCTATTCTTGAGCTTTGGTGATCTGATGAGCAGGTCAACGCCACCAACGCCATCAGGAGCGCACATATCAAACGTTGCACAAGGGGGATGTGGGAATGCTGAACGTAAATGGCACAAATAGTACATCAAGCTTTCATAAGAAGCAACAGAATTTTCTAGATTCAAGGTAAAAACAAAAAACAGGGACAACTTCAGTTTTGTGTTTACATTCTTTTGCTTATGATGGCACACTTGCATGAATGAATGGAGAGCATTATATAATCTAGTGTATGTCTGAGACAAGAAGGCAAAGTTTGATCTATAATTGTTTAATCTGTGATCGTCATAACAGGCTGACAGAAATATTGTGTAATGGAAATCAAAACAAACATTTCCTGTTTTATTCTTGTTTCACTTCATTCTGTTCTGCTTGCTGACGTTGGCCCGTTTCCATTGTGTCCTCTTTGACCTGATGTTGTGATGTGTGAGTGAGATGTGGAGTCACACTTGGAGTTGTAAGAGAGTCAAGTATTATATTTACAAAAACCTCACATATGTTACAACACTGGTACAAAAAGAAAATATGCAACACTTTTCAAAACTGTGGACATTTTTAAAGCCATTTCAATGTGTTTATTACTGTAAAATGTCCTGAAATAATCACATATCAATTATTTCAGGACATTTTGCTTGTTTTTAGGGTTTTGCCTTTATGCCTGGTGTTCTGCCAGTCTGACTGCCTCCATGCATATATGCACAGCCTTGGACTGAAAGATTTGGATTCGATATAGTGTCATCAGATAAGCACAGTTGTGGAGGAGTCGGAAGTCTCGACATGTTGATACTGCAGTCAAACTGGATTACTGCACTGAAGGTATTTCATTGTGTCCTTGCTGTGAGGTATTTACACTCCCAGTTTCTTTTACTTAATGCACACACGCACAGGGATATCGTTGTGGGTGTGTAAAATGATTAATGCAGGCGGATACATTTCTTATTCACATCAGGGACACAGTGACCTCTGTGCTGCCACCACTGACGCCTCTGGATCAGATCAGTTTGCCTGCTTCAGGGCGTGAGCTCCTCATGTGTAACCCACTGCAACTGCACTTGCTTAATGTTAATGTTTACATAGTGCTGCTTTCATAACCGAGGATGACATGGCAGGCACCTGTAAAAATAATTGTGAATAAAACAAATTATAACATCTTCATACAAACATCTTAACTTTCAGCATGAATAAGTTCAAGTCTTGTCCAAATTGTGCTCAATTAAGCTGCACTTGCAGAAAATTATTCTAGCTGCTGAAAATAAAATTCACTGATTAAACTTCTTGGATATTCTTCTTGGTGTTTGGATCACCACATCACAGTGGAGTTGTTAAGATCAGTGACTCAGCAGACAGGTAGGTGCTTTAACTGCATCTGTCAGCCTCACCTGAATGAAATCACTCCTGTACCACGGTTTTATGAAGGGGGAAACTATCCATGTTTATTTCTGATGTTGATTTGAAGATTTTAACTTGGTAGTCTATGAGGATTGACTCATTTTGACTCTCTCAAATTATATGATTAGAGGGTTGAAATTTATTGGAAGCATAGTTTCAGTAAAAGGTCTGCAAACGAGTGTGAGTGAAAGCTGGACAGCACAGAGCAGATGCTTAACGTCAAGAGAAACTAAAAC